CATACAGATGAAGAACAGGAAAATCTGAGGACAAAAATGACTACACAGAAGCATTTTAAATTGAGCAAAGCAACAGAGCAGAAATCCACAGCTTTCATTTTCGTGGTAAACGAGTCCTGAATTTTTGTCTCAGAACCGAGCCTGTTTCCTACTGTCTTCAAAACTGATTATGAAAGCAAAAATTAACTTCAGAGCTACAGGTAAGATTGTTTGACTTGTAGCTTTGGTTCACGGGGCAACGAACCAGCTGTACAATGACACCTCTCACTTAGCAGAGGCTTATCTTCAGAGCTATCTTTAATACTGCAGGTTGTTCAGGCAAAGCCAACGTTGGACCCAGCCACCTTACCCCTTTTACTACAAAATTGACTTCATTTATTCCAACTGTGACATGTTTTCCCTTCCCTCACATCTGAAGCAGACGAGTTCAGAACAGTCTGCTTTGCCAGGCCTGACAAGTTCTACAACCCTTCCACTGAGCAGCTTTGGAGTGAATGCAACCACGGCACGCATCTCTGGCCAAAACTGTGTCTTGTGCTGTCTAGAGAAGCACTTGTGCACACCTGATTGAATTTTAAGTCCCTTCAAAGCAGTTCACACGACATCGGGTAGAGATGCTGCAGATCTGGCAGCTGAGCTTTCCAGCTGTCCCATCTGCAAGCACATGCCATCCTCCCAGCTCCCAGACTGCACTTGCTGTCCTGCAGATCGAGCAACACTTTCCCTCCTGTTGTTCCTTCAGAATCCTCGTGACCCAGCCAGACCCTGTTGCCATGCAGCAGCCTGTCGGTGCTGCCATCAAGAGCACTGCAGATGGTCCACCAGAAACACAAGCAAATGGAACAAAAAAGAAAAAACAAACCCTGAGCAGTCTTTGCAAAGTTCATCCTTCCCTTCAATAAATGTCTAGAGATGATGAGGGAAAGCACTCTGCAGAGACACATCCAGAACCATTTGGCGACGGGATGAAAAAGGCAAGAAGAGCCCCAGGTGACACCTGGCTGCAACAATCTGCAGCTTTCTTACTGACAGAACTGCCTTTTCTCCCTGCAGCCTCCCTCCCTGCACACACACAGACCACTGGAAGAGCAGCCAGCATCCACTCTCAGAACACAGCCCTTCCTTGTCTCTGCTGTCACAGCCAGGTCTGGTGGAAAAGAGGTTTTTAGTTACACAATACACATGCAGCAGGAAGCAATGCTGAAGTTTCACAGACCGAGCTCTGAATTTTTTCAGCTTAAGGAATGGAATTTGTCAGCATTTCATGGCCCACATATGAGGTGCTCCTTGTAAACCAGCCACTGGCACAGCTGCCCTCACCCAGAAGGACTTGGATGCCATAGCAAATGGTGCCCATCTCATCCTCTGTTCCCACTCGAGCCTCACAGCCTTGCTGGAAAACATTTCCAACTACAGATTTTAGTCTGGGATCACACAGGTATCTCAGAGGCTGCTCCCCATTTCACTGCTTTGTGTTCTGAAGGCACGTCTCTCAACAGTGCCCATCGAAGGCAGGAGGCTGAAATTCTGTTTCTTACTGCTCTTTTTCAACTACGACTCATTAAAAGTTCAAGTCGTATCGTCAACTAAGCTGACGAAGCAAAGCTTCGTGTGCAGCTGACTCACTGCTGAAGGTAGCAGTTTGGTGGCAGACTAAACAGTAGTGCTGCAAGGACCAACCTAAAAGAGGCGCCAAGGAAAGATAATCTTGGCAACTGCTATTTCCATTCATTAGATTCCTCCCTCAGCCTTTCCATGGTGCCACAAATGAACAAGAAACACACCTTGAACACAGTACAGGAACCAGCAGCTCAGGTGATCCCAACACCTCTGGGTGCAGGAAGGCACTGAGTGCCCTACAACAAAACTGTGCCCTGACAGATCCATCAGCTTCACTCTTCAATAGCACAAATTGCCAGTTGGATGGAAGAACCAAGCCCATCCCCAACATCATTAACCTCCAAATAGACACCCTGCAGCTCCAGGGTGCTCATGGGGCAGACATCAGGGGAGCAGCATTGCCTCTCAGTGCTGCTGGTGAGAGGGAATGGAGGCCTCTCTGTTTCAGGCAGAACCCTCAGGAGTAACAGAAAGTTTGCTGGTTTATTTTTCCCCTTTCTTGCAGCCAAACAGTCTGATGCAAAAACCAAAATATTCCCATTTATCCATGAAAATCAATGCTTAATGCAGAACAGGAGTGTTTGGGACAATGTTCCAAGTCAAGCCACAAGGATGGGTGAAGAAGATGTGCAAGCCAAGGAGAAAGAATGGGAAATAGAGCTGGTAAGACAGGTTAGAAAAGAAACACAGCACCAAGAGGTTAAGGGGACAAAGATGTGCAAAGCAGAAGCAAGACAGAAATGAAGGGCAGGAACTGTAATGAGCAAAAATATGAAAGAATAGCAAAAATGGGAAGAGAAGGGAAAAAAAAAAAGCCTTGTGATCTGAGAAAAGAGCATCGTATTAAATCAGGAGGAAACAGAACAAAAGCAAAACACCCAGTCCTTTGCTTTGAATGAAACTACGATCCTTAGCAGGTTAATGAACTAAAACAGAAACTTATCTGACATCCTCTAAGAAGACCTGACTTTGATGATACGCAGCATTTAGCAGCTGTCAGGGAAGCTGTTAATGCAGAGAACTGAGCCACCTTTTGGCATGAATAAAAGAGAACTGTTTGGTGACAGCCGTTTTCAGTGAGCTGGCTTTCAAAGAAGAGTGCCATAAAGCTCTGATCCAGAACACCAACACAACTCATACACTGCTCCTCACTGCACTGTATCAGGCAAACTCTGAGACAGAAACCTTAAGAGAAACAGAGCTGCACGAGCTGCAGTTTGTGATCCCAGCGACACTGATTTTCCTACAGCTGAAGCAGACCCAGCTGGCTCTTCCTGCAGCTCTGTGCTGGCAGATGCTAATTTCGAACGACAGGAGCCGTAACGCCAGGCCAGAAAACAAGCGCC